CCTACCTCCATGGTGCTCCAGCTCCACCCTGCCTTCTCTTTTCTTCTGGAAGCATTCAGCAAAGGGGCTGGGAGTGGGTGTGGGAGGCAGATTGGAAGAGTGTGGTGGAGCCAGATGTGAACTGGACCTCCCCTGAGTGAAGAATATGCAACCAAGAGTCCCGTCCCAGCACATCTTTGGGAGGAGTGGCTTCCTAACTTCACTCTCGAGCTGAAACATGGTGCTATCCCACATCCAAGTCCAAACGCCGGTCCAGATTATACATCAAAACTGGCCTGTTATCATGTCTGATTTTTACTGAGCATCTTTGAAGAAGAAAGAGTCCTTTGAGGGGGCTAATTGATCCCAGGCCTGAGAGTTGGACATGGATTTCTATGGCCATTTCAGAAGGAAAATTCCAGGGCTTGAAATCCAGGTACCCCATGATGTTTCAGCCGGAGCACAGGCATTCGGGTCACCAGCACACACAGAGAGCAGGTGCTTTATTTGGCTCCAACAGCACAGAGTCCGTTTTGCCTTGATGGTGATAGCAGCACAGCAAGAGGTGATGCTGTGACGTTCACAGGAGTGACGACCTTCGATAAATCCGAGGAAACTTGTTTAGTAGACACTCGGACGGACAGACCGTGCTAAAAAAAGCCCGCTAGCTATGAAATCATCCACGATCCAGGAGACAGCAAAAGGTGAGTAGTCATCACAGGTATCAAATGCAAACACGTTTATCTCTGAACGGCCTTTGTTTAGGGCTGTGCAGCCCCGGCAATTTCTCAGGTGATTTTCTAACGGATGGCTAGATTGCTACAACTTCTTGCAAGCTGGAAGTTAGATAACTGCTGAGTGGGGTGAGAGGGCAGCCTTGGCAGCCTGAGGTCCTCTGCACAGCCCACTGAGCCAGCTGAGCCCGACTTGAGTGTGAAGCTGCTGCAGCAAATGGAATGGTCCTTTAATCCACAGAGGATGGTCGTTTTCCCATTGATTGAAGTGACATTAAACTGTGCACTGAATTCACAAACTGGCCATCCAGTTAGGCCTCCTAACACATTCAGGGACATTTTCACCCTACATGTTTGGTTAAAAACAATGCTCTATAAACCCACCAGCAGACAGATAGACAGGGTGACTCCCCTTCATGCCATCACCAACTCCAGCAGTGTCATTGAAAGCGACAACCCAGCACGTTTGCATGAAAAATAGGACTTATTTGGATGACGTATATGATGTCATCTTGGACAATTTTATTCCACGAGAGGGATTGTGTAAAGAGGCAGGCAGTTTCTTATGCGGCCACCCCCGGGAACAATCCTCTCCCTCCCCCACAACACAAAGCAGAGCTTGCTTACAGGAATGAATCAGTCCAGAATGGCTGTGCCATCATGTCCTCGGTCCTTATTTTCAAGAGATGGCAAAAGAAACATCTCTTCAAGTGAACGCACTCACCTACCTCGTAAAACAAAGGCGCAGCACCGCTGGCAGACTTCTTCCCTTTCTTAGCTGCACTTCCGAAAAGGACATTCACCTCTTGGATCTGTGAGAAAGGCAATTCATCTGTAATTTTAAAAATGACAAAAAACGAACTGCCTCCTTAAAAAAAATGACCTGGACCTATGTGACTTTCCAATACCTCGGCGCTCTAAGGAGTTTGGAGAGCCTAAGGGTGGAGGGGAACTCCTTAACGAAGCACAATATTCAGAGTCCCCGGTGTGCTGGGTACGTGTGCCACCTGACAGATCCTGTCTATGTTGTCCTTCCCTCTGACATCCGGCAGCCATGAAGCTCCGTTGACTACATTTTGCAACGAGTTTCGTTATAGACGCCCCTGGAATCTTAACCCACAGAGTCTTTTATTATCACCCAATCATTTCTTGAGGAGCCCGAGTGGCAGAAGGGTGACTAACTAACCTCAAGGTCAGCAGTTCAAAACTACCAGCAGCTTCATGAGAGAAAGACGAGGCTTTCTACTCCCGTGAAGAGTGACAGACTTGGGAAGCCCACCGGGGCAGTTCTACTCTGTTCTATAAGGTCTCTATGAGCTGCCCTGCACTCAATGGCAGTGAGGTGTTTTGTTTTTGTAACTTAAAAGAAATGTAATTCACCATAGTATCATGGTGCCTGCAATGGCCTTAGAAACTTAACAAATGAGTGAATCTCGGTCAGAGGGGCAATGCTTACTGCCCAAAAAAACCCCACCAAATCATTGTTCCGAATGAAGTGATTCAAATTTGTTATAATTAAATATTTGTTCACAACAATCCGCTAGCATGTGCAAATAGGCCAAGCATAGTTTTATTTATTTTATTCTATTATTTTAAGCGGGGGTGGGGGTGGGGTGGGGGCGGTCTCCCAAAGGCATGGCGGTAAGCACTGGCAGGTACCTGCTGCAGAATGTCTTCCCACAGGATCACACTGAAGAGCTTACGCTGAGGCGCCTGGACGGCCAGGGTGAGGGCTCGGAGGAGAAGTTCGTCCTCCGTCTGGTTCCCAACCACAAAAGCAATGGACGCCTTCCAATCGTTCTGTTGCAAAAGAAGAAGGAAGGAGATTCTAAACTTCTCCGGCTAGGTAACTTTTGAGTCACAGGCTTCCTCTGAAAATCAGTAACATCCACCCCCACCCCCTAGCCCCCCAGCACCACCCCCTTCCCCAAGGACCCTTACCTGAAAGCCGGAGTTGACCCTGTAGGTCAACTAGCGTCCTCACCACCAATGGCCGCGCGGGGGCGGAATTGGGCCAAGTTTCAGTAACTTGGTTTGAAAACCCTCAAAACACCAGGAAGGTTTAATAAGGACAAAACAAATAACCGACATTGACTGGAACGTTGTTGGACTGTAACTGAACCTATGTCACAACTGTATCCTGCTGATACTCGCTCCAAGAGTATCGCAGCAATCTTGTTTAGTTCCTGGATGGAACCCAGGGCTTTCAAATAACGCCCCAAACATCATACATGTTCCATAGATGTGAGTTGGATGTTAAAGAATACCGAATGCTTTGGGGAGGAAATGGTAGGTGGGGGGCGCTGCATTATTTGGGGTAGAAATTAAATCCCCGGAGGTTTGTAAAGCACAGAGCTGGAAAAATGTCTTTTCCTCCTAAACCAGCACAGGATATCTCTCAACGCTAAGTGATACCTCCTTTCCACTCCTGAGACCTTATGCTAAAACTTTGCCTTGGCCATTAAATTCCGCTTCAAATAATTTAAAGAAAAAAGTTTACAAAATAAGTTCCCGTTTCACTCTCCCTTTCTTTCTGTCCGTGATGATTATAATTTCTTTTGAGGGAAGGCATTTTTGAGAAAGATGACGAGGTAGCTCACTGCATTACCCAGTGTGGGGTGCTGAGGAAAAAGGGCAAACTCCCGCAAGTCAGGACGAGCACACTGCATGCTAACCCCAAGGTGGGCAGCGTGGGCAGAGTCCAGGTGACCGGCTTCCATACGTTCTCCATCCAAGAAGCCCTCTGGGGCAGTTCAACTCTGTAAAACTCTAATGGTCTCCCTGACTCTCGGAACTGACTGGTTGGCAATGGGTTGTGTGCTGTTGGTTTTTGAGTGCCAGCAATCCTGGGAGGTGGAATAAGACAAAGCCATTCTCATTGTCACTGAGTCGATTCCAACTCAGAGCGACCCTACAGGGCAGAATAGAACTGCCCCTGTGGGTTTCTGAGGTTGTAAGTCTTTAAGAGAGTAGAAAGTCCCATCTTTCTCCCTTGGAGCAGCTGGTGGTTTTGAACTGCTGACCTTGCTGAGGTCGGTAGTCCCACACGTAGCCAATATGCCACCAGGGCTCCTGTGAGAAAGTCATTAGAAAAGGGAAATGATAGCATGGGGGGCCCTCGGGTCCTGTAAGCTCTCTGAATCTTCGCTTTCTGATTCACAAAATGAAGGGGCTGGGCAGGGCAAGACGGAAGCTTCCCTCGCTCCTCTGCCGTGCTCTACTGACAGAGAAGCAGCCCCTTTAAGTGGACACGAGAACAATGTCTAAGAAGACACGTACAGGCCAGGGGAGCCTTATGTAAGGCATGACCCTCTGGTCTCTGAGATGTCTGTCACCCAGGTGGTGACAGAACCAGGGGGTCGGTGAGAAGAAAGACCCAAGCTCCAGTTGTCCCTCGTCCTAAGGGAACCCACTGACCTTACATTCCGCTTACTTCTCTCCATGGAAAACTTACTCAGTAGGTAACAAAACTCACCCAAGTTCCAAAGCGAAAACACAAGCCATATGTCCTGTTTCCATTGAGGTTATTTCAACTCAGAGCAACCCTACAGGGCAGAGTAGACCTGCCCTGCCGCCCCCCGCGCGCGCCCCCCCCCCCAAGGGCGTAAATACGCACAGAAGCCCACTGCCTCATCTTCCTCTTGGCGGAGTCGTTGGTGGGTGGGTTTGAACTGGCAGCAGTTAACAGCTGTGCACTTACATACCACTCCACCAAGACTCGTCTCTAAAAGCATAAACATGAGTGCTTAGCTTGGGAAGGGTGTGTGTGTGTGTGTGTGCCCGCACCGGTGTGTGTGCACGCGCACCATGCATGTAGGTGCCCCTCTGAATGTGCTTTCCTTTTATTTTGAGTTAAAAACCATTTTCTGCGCGCTAACTAGCCAGAAGAAGCACGCTTTCAGAATGTTCTGATTGCGAAGAGCAGGCAGGAATCTGTAAAGTGTCCTTTAGAATAATCTCCACTATATATTTCTAAAAGGTCATTCCTGCCATTGTTTTCTTCTGCCTGATCTCTGATTCAAAGCTGCAAACATCGAAGACGGGAAATCTCTCATTCTCACCATGTACATAGCTCCTGAGCAGGCAATTCCTTGACATTTCTGGCAGTTTCCCTGACTATTTTAATGCCCACACTATGCCCCTGCCCCCTTTAACAAGTTTCCTTGCCAGCATTTGAGCTAATGGAGACAGGGAAGGGCTACCTCTCAGCCATCTGTGAGGGATGTCTCAGAAGGATGGTGCTGTAGTTGAACCACCTACTCATTTGTATCTGGTGTCAAAGGCAGGTGTTGAATATTTCTGACCAGGTTTTTTTTTTAAAGGAAGGAAGGAGGAAGAAGAAACAAATTATTTCTTTGAATGTGCCATGTGCCAGGCATATGTTATCTCATGGACTCCCTGAGTAACCCCGTGAAATAGGTGTGTGCATGCTCTGTCGACGGAAAAGCAGAGGCCCAGGGAAGTAAAATAAGCTGTTTAAGGTCTTGTTTGCAGAACCCCTGGAGACCCCAGTCCACAGTGTTACAGTCATTTCTGAACAGTTCTAAGAGTAAGCCTTTGGGATCACAGTGCATTTCCATAGTCCTCACATTGTAGAAGCAATGTTGTCGTTGTTGTTGCTGTTAGGTGCCTCAAGTCAGTCCAGAACCATACAAGCCCTATGCACTATAGATGATGTGTTTTAGAAGCTTACTTCATATCAAGACATTGTGAGATCACAATTTTTAAAATCATCGATTTTCAAGAGTTGAAAAATGTTAAGGAACTTCCCCAGCGTTTTCTCTTCCAAAGCGCAGTCCTTTGGTCAGGTTCGCAGTAAGATACAGCTTAGCAGTCTTCTGGTGCAGTTCCTAGAGCTATATTGAAACTTCTAGGGTTCCGGGAATCCCGTCTCCAATACCTGCTCGGGCTACAGCAGGTGGGGATTTGCTCTGGCGGAGAGGTTTCTACGAGGACTGCCTGGCCGTCCGTCCAGGTTCATCTCTGCACCTGAAGGGGGTCTGAAGAGGACGGCTTCAGTGCAGTTTTCCGTCTAGCCTTTGGACTAGACTCATGATCCAGACCTGGGATCTACTTGACAAAATAGAACCCATGGATGATTTACTCAGTGATGGTGTGTGTGTGGGTGGGGGTGGGGGGGTCTAGTCACATAACTAGACCCCCGATGGTTTGCAAATGAGGCCATAGTCAAACATGAAAACAAGACTAGTGACAAGAGAGGACGCCTACGAAGAAGGGTGCAGCACTGAAGGAATGCACCAGGGGGCAGCAACATGCTAGGAAATGCAGGCTGGTTGTCCGCGAAAGACCAACGAGCACTTCCTGTGGTGTCTTCATCGGGAAGAACAGCTAAATAAACGATGTTCTGCAAGTAAATTCAGGTTCTGAATCTTGCGCATAATATTTAAGGATAGGTATACAAGACAAAATAAAAACCAATATGTTCATATTGTGGTGTGAATACTGTAGGGAATAAAAACACAATCACTGCCCTCACGTCGATTCCAATTCATAGTAATGCTGGACGACAGGGTGGACCTTGAGTTTCCAGGATTGTAACTCTTTTCAGGAGTAGAAAGCCCTATCTTTCTCTCTTGCAGCAGTTGGTGGTTTCAAACGGAAGACCTTGCAATTAGCAGCCCAACACATAGCCACTATGCTATCAAAGGAGACCCCAAATCTTAAATATGATTTATAGAGACACCTTTATTACAGGACAAAGACAAAGCAAAGACACTTCATCCGAATGAGGGAGACCATCGCACAAGTCCATCAGGGCATCCGACACTTACAGAGAGCCAGTGGGTTGATTCAACAAGATTTGGGAGGGCAAAGGAAATGGTCATACAAGTGTGATTGGTGATCAATATCTCACCGTTTCAGGCAGGATGACCATGATTGGGACCTGCACATTATGCTCGACAGAAGACCTTATAAGGTTAGTTTAAGGTCCTTGACTAAGGTAGTCAGGGCCCTGCTACCCCAATTCTCATTGAGTGTACACCCTGGACCGTAGAGGGGAGTATCCATAATCCACTTTTAAACACACTTGGTCTGAGGCTAAAACTATTCCCATTGCCAGTTAAAGGGTCAGAAAGAAATTCAATAGAGAAGGCTTAATCTCTGTGGAAACTCAAAAATGGATTTGGGGTATTCGCTGTTATCTGTATCCTCCTGCAAACTTAGTGGACAAAATGTAAACTCCAGGGACTGGCAAAAGATTGAGCAAATCAACCGTGGAAGGGACACAATCCGAATGACCCTTGGAAAAGTGATGGTGAGGTTTCGACTCACTCACTCTGGACACGTCTTCGGGAGAGACCCAGTGCTCGAAAGGGAATTCGGGACTGATCAGTGAAAACCCTCCATGACACCACCGACCACCCAATAACCACAACCCAAACCCAATCAAGCCCACTGGCTGCCACCGAACCCATGCCAGCTCAGAATGATCCTGCAGGGCACAGTAGAACTGACCCTGTGGGTTTCCGTGGCTGAAACTTTTGACAGCAATAGAAAGCCCCATCTTTCTCCTGGGAGCAACTGGTGGTTTAGAACTGCTGACCTTGAGATTAGCCTCATGCGAAACCATTATGTCCCGAAGGCTCACAACAGTGGAATTAGATACCAAACGTCATGATGCTGGTGCAGGGCCAGGTCACGCTATGCCGTTCATGCTTCATGCTGTCCGGAATCAGGGCTCACGCAAAGGCACAACAACAACGATCCCGAAGTTCTACTAACGGGCAGCACAATGAAGTTTGGCCAAACAGTGGAGAAAAATAAACCTTCACCCATGT